GTACAGAATCCAACAATTAATTAAAAATGTGTGTTTTATCTATATCAATGTCAAGTCCAGCACCATTATTTTAGCCATAATTAACTTAGCAAAATTGACAAACAAAATCATTATGTAACTCCAGCAAACCTTTTCTAGGAGAGGTAATATTAAAGGATGCCTCATTAATTTTCTAAATTTGTATTTGTAATCTAGCCAAGAAAGAACCTAAGTGTATGATACAAAAGCAGATGTGTTTATATGGTACTTTTAAAATGTTTACTATCAGTCTTTCAGTTGTGAAACAAGAATATTGTCTAACATTTGTCCCTTAATTTTTCTGTTATTAAAACATTTGGTCCTTTTCAGAATGCCAATGATTTAATGCACACAAACAATTACATTCTCAATGAAAAATTAACCTTTTTAAAATACGAGCCATTTTTTCTACATCTATTACAGTGAGCTCAGAACAATTTTATTACCCCACAGAATTTTATGAAAATAAAGAAATAGCATAGAAGATTTGAGAGGCCTTCATCAGCTAAATATGTTTGCAGTAAATCTCCTTTTATCTCAGACTTTTATACTGAATGTCATTGATTTTTTTCTTTAAGGCCATTATTTACATGTTGTAGAAGATTTATTTTATATTATCTATTTTCTTTAAAAGAAACAAGGACTTAAAAAAGCCAAATCACAAACCTATACCATATTTGATGGTTCTTTACTTTTAAGTCCTAGTATATAGATATGAATAAAGGCTTAGCTAGTACTAGTTAGCATTCTGAATACTGCCCCATAGCTTTCTATATGCCATATAGGTTATGAAGCTTCAAACTTTATTCTTAGGGGTTACCAATCACTGGAAAGTGGATTTGATTTGCTCTTTTCCACATTATGCAACTACCTGACCCTGGCCTCTTCCCCATATGCCAGTCAGGGTCATGCAAATAAGTTTGGAAGAATTACTGACCAAGTTCTGTGCATTTTTTTAATGTCCCGAAACAAGGACAAATTCTTTTCTCAGTGAACGATACAGTCAACTGAGGTAAAGAAAATGTGGAGACTGACTCAGGAAGCCAGTGCCATTAGGGATAGCCGGACTCTGGTAGAGGAAACAGTGTTCTACACATATCTTTTGATTGCTTTTTAAAAAGCAAACAAGTTCTCTCCTTGGTATCATGCTGCTACTCCAGTCATGTGCCTGCAGAAAGTCCCAAAAGCTTTGTGACCCTAACAGGCAAGAGCTGAGAAACCTATGTTTGGGATAAAGAGCTGCAGTGTAAGGCAGACTGACAGATTATTGATACAAGTTATTATGTCTCTACACAGCTTTACATCTTCTTGGGACAGAGTTTCTTTCTTTTTTTCCTCTTTTGGCCTTTTGAAGTAGGCAGAATTTTCAATTTATTAGGCCTTTGGGCAGCCAATAAACACTCTGAGCCATTTGCAAACTCCAGAAATAATGTATGTATTTCATTGGAGGGGATTTTAAAAGAGGTATAAACACTGGCATTATGGTGCATTCAGAACTGATGCTATAGAATATCTAGGGTGCTGAAACTCTGACCCAGGTGTCAAGTGTAGCCCACAGAGCTATGACATCCACCCCACAGAGCTCTGAACTGGTTTCAAAATTTGGCAGTGGGGAAGTGGTAGTGATTAATATGCCCACCCTCTCCCATTGCCAAAGTCCCATGCTCCAAGCCTTGACTGCAGCTTGGAGTGCACCAGGTCCTCTCCCCTCAACAGCTGGGTTGGGGCCAGCCCCCTCCCCCTCCCCAGCTGATTCAGGTACTGCCCAACCAGCCTGCTGGCCAAAAAAGTTGAGCACCAGTTTCCAGACATGGGCTATTTTTTTATATACAAAAAATGATTACACCAAGTGCATTGGTTACACACTTTGGGGTGAAACCCTGATTCTGCTGAAGCCAATGGGAGTTTTGCCATTGACTTCACTTAAGCCATGATTTTACCCAGAATACACAGAAAAGAAGGATTTCCTATATTTCCTAATTTATTAATTAGAAAAATTTGAATTCTTCAAGCCAAGAGTATTGAGTACGTTATGTGAGGCACTTTATAATATTGCCACTTATACTGTACCACTTATATGGATAAAGAAAGGATATCACCCTCCCATTCATAGTTTCATAGTTTCTAGGGTCGGAAGGGACCTGAGCAGATCACCTAGTCTGATCCCCTGCCATGGCAGGAAAGAGTACTGGGGTCAAACAACCCCAGCAAGGTGTTCATCTAACCTCCTCTTAAAAACCCCCAGGGTAGGAGCCTGTACCACTTCTCTTGGAAGTTGGTTCCAGACCCTAGCCACCCTGACTGTGAAGTAATGCCTCCTGATATCTAACCTAAACCTACCCTCTGCCAGCTTGTGACCATTATTCCTGGTCACTCCTGGTGGTGCTCGGGGGAACAGTG